AGCCCCTAGATTGGGGTGTGACAATTGGACTATATGATCTAGTCTTCCTTTAAAACCATATTTAAAATCCTATAACCTAAACCATAAATCATAAATCTTTTTTTATTTTATAAATAGCCGATAGTTTTATTAAAAATATAAAAAAATCCAAAATTACATTGAAAGTTTACATGAGTTACCATAAACATAAACTAAAATATAATTAGAATAAAAAAAATTAAAAAGCTCGAACAAAATATAAATAAGAATAAATCTATTTACATCGATAAACGAACCACAAAAGGAGAGAGAATGAAACTACTAGTAAAATACCACCGAAAAAACGTATCAGAGTCGAGTGACTTGAGAAATTTTTTATGAACGCAAATCGCGTATCCAAATTTGGTCCGAAGCAGAGAAGATCATCATGATAACAAATAAGCGTCGCCTTGATCAACCGTGACAATGTCAAATCAAACCCTAAAAAAAAAATAAAACAAAAACAACGATTAAACAACCCAAAACATACCTATGGACAGAGAAAAACATGCAATACAAGTAGAGTAAAACATGTCATAAAGATAAAGTTATTAAAAAACAAACGAAACAAAAGAAAAAAAAAGATATGATATAAGAAAATAAATATAAAATACTAGCAGCGGATACCAACACAAAGATTAGTATCGTCACCTACGACTAAAAAAAACAGGAACAAACGATTAAAAATTTTAAGATGGAGAAAAACATAATTAATTATAAACCATAAATCTAAAGTCATATATAAACTATAAAATATAAAATACTGAACCTTAAATAAAACATGTAGCACTAGAATAAATATATAGTGTGAAATAAATTTTACTTATCAAAATATCTTGAGTTTCTAGATTGTCTAGTAGAGTACAAATGCGCTTATCCGCCCATTGGCCTCATGGATCAGGCCGAATAAATAAGAAGCCCCAAGAAACACCGATTCCTAGTTTCCTCACGTTTCCGTTCCCGCGAACGAAACGGCAGCTTCAAAAAAAATAATAAATTGGAAATGAAAAATATTAAATAAATAAACAGAGAGAAAAAGGAAATATAATATAATAGCTAATAGATCAGGTACTATTTTTTTTATTTGTTTATTGATTTTCTCACCACCCATTTCTTCACTCCGGTGATTTGTGGAATCTCTCTGAACAACGAAAGCAGGTACGTTATTTTCATTTAAAAACTGTAATTTTTTAAAAAAAATTATCATTGCGTTGATATTTTTTGTTTAATATTAAACATTTCGTTAATGGAAAAACGTTAGATAAACAACTGATTAGTACCCAATGTGATGTTTTTACTGTTGAATCTAATGAAATATTTGAAATGCGTCAAAAGGGTATTTATTTTCTTAATCTTTGCTTGATTTGAGTTATGATTAAAGGGTTAAAATTTGTTTACATTTAGGGTGTATTTTGATCCAAGATGAGTGTAGTTTTGTTGGGAAAAATGTTGTCGTCTTGGCTTAGTCCTATGTTGCTCTTGTTCTTCATTTTTCTCTAGAAGTAGCCGTGTCTTACACTCGTCTCTACACATGCATATGACTATTCGAGGATCCTTCGAATAACACCCAAGCCGGATATTCCTGTATATAACACTCACACCCGAGTCCGAGTAATCGGTATTGTTTTATTGAATAGTGTTTGAGATTATGTGTTTGTTTTGCACAGATTTTTGAACCGTCTCTTTCATGGTTACTGTTTGTGATTTTCCCCATAAAGCCTTGTCCTCAGCAATGTTTTAGCCCTACCATTCCATGTTGGAAATTACTTGTATGAGAAAATTGTTGTTCTCAAAGTCTCAATGTCCTTGATAACATGAGATTTGAGCTAAGAAATCCAGATTCAAACTGGGGATTTGCTTAGCATTTCAATGGCAGACATGGCCAAACTGTACATTGCATGCAGGCAAAAATGAAAAAAAAGGGGCGGGGTTGGAAGAAGAAAAGGAAAATCAAGTAAAACATGGGCCTTTAACTATGGCATTGATGACCAAAGTTCTAATTCCTTGTTGATTGCAGGTGAACTCAGGAAACTTATTGCAAAAGGAATTACAGTAAGATAGTAGATAGGGGGTTGTGCATCTGTTTGTCCAGGATGAGCAGCCAGAATCAAGGGGTTAGCTTATCTTCTGCAGCAGAGCCTCCTATGAGGCGGAAACGTGGGCGTCCACGGAAGGATGACATTGTTCAAGGGGACAACTCACCTATGACACCAGCATCTGAAATTCTGAATAAAAGCAAGCTTAGTGTGGAAACCAGTGACACTGCCTCTGCTGACATAGTAGGCCAGGTGGTTTCCGGTGTCATTGAAGGTTCATTCGATGCCGGGTATCTTCTTAATGTTAGGGTAGGTGAGACCAACACGCATCTTAGAGGTGTTGTATTTCTACCAGGGCGCTGCGCTCCAATTACTGCTGCAAATGATGTGGCTCCACAGACTAAGATGTATAGGAGGAAAGAGATCCCTTTCCCTTTTTTAAGCTCTCAAGGTCATCTCCGTCCTGTGAGTCCTACATCAGGGAAAAGTGAGAAGCCAATGGAGCATAAAAACGACACACCTAAACTTCCAGATCAAGGTCTACAGATAGGGCTTCAGTCTGGTGCCCCGGCTGCTAATGAAAGCCAATCTGTTTCTGGTCTAATTCCTCCAGCTAGTAACTTGCCAATAAATGACACTGGTCTTCCCTTGGAACAAAAGGTCTTGCAAGACCTAATCGTAGATATCGGATTGCAGAATGGTAAAGCTGTTGGATTTGAAGCCTTCAAATCGGTTAAAGGAACAAATTTTAACGTAGATGCACCTAAAGCGTCGGTGCCTGCAACATTTACTGCTAGTTTGCCAGTTACCGAGTCTGTTAATCCGAAGCCTCAAGTTGAACACCAGGCAGTGAGTTCTGATCTTAAGTCACAAAAATTGGTTGGTGAAGAGAAAAGCCTTGACCTTGTTATCGATCAAAAATCTAAATTTCCTGATCCTGAACCTCAAGCCATGCCTTGTGAACATTCTGGAATCAACATGTTCGGAAAACAGGCTTCTAAATTTCCTGAAACTCAAGCGATGAATTGTGAACCCACTGGAACAAACATGTTTGGGCAACAGGCTTCTAAATTTCTTGAACCTGAAACTCAAGTTATGCCCTGTGAACCCCTGGAATCAACATGTTCGGAAAACAAACTTTTAAGTTTCCTGGACCCCAATCTCAAGCTATACCCTCTGAACCCCTTGGAATCAACATGTTTGGGAAACAAGCTTCTAAATTTCCTGGTCCTGAATCCCAAGCTTTTCCCTGTGAACCCCCTCAGATCAACATGTTCGAAAAACAGCCTACTAAATTTCCTGAATCTGGTCCTCAAGCCATGCCCTCTGATCCCACTGGGATCAACATTTTTGGGAATCAAACTTCTAAGTTTCATGAACTTGAACCACAAGGCATTCGTTGTGAACTTACCGGAATGAACATGTTTGGCAAGCAAGGTTCTAAATTTCCTGAACCTCTACCCATGCTTTGTGAACCTGCTAGAAACAATATTTTTGGGAAGCAAACTTCCAAATTTCCCGAACCTGATTCTCAAGCCATATCTTACGAACCCATTGGATTCAACATGTTCGGAAAACAGACTTCTAAATTCCTTGAACCTGGACCCCAAGCGATACCGTGCAAACTTACTGGATTCAACATGTTCAGAAATCAGGCTCCTAAATTTCCGGAACTTGAACCCCAAGCCATACCATCTGAACCTACTGGAATCAACATGCTTGGAAAACAGGCTTCCCAATTTCCCGAACCCAAGCCATACCTCATGAACCTACTGGAATCAGCATGTTCGAAAAACATGATTCCCATTTTCCTGAACCCAAATCTATACCTTATGAAACTACTGGAATCAACATGTTCGGAAAACAGGTGCCTTCAAGGCAAGATCTAGGTGTTCCACAAGATACTCAGTTGGAGCTTGCTAATAAGATTATGGCTGTAGCTGATGTGCCTCACACGGATGGATTGTTTGCAAGTGATACTGCAACAACTACTGCTACAGCTCCGTGCTCTGCATCAATGACCAGCCTACCACTAATGATATTTGGGGCTGGAACTATACCATCCCTGCACAAGCCTGCCTCTGAAGAATCTATTCTTCCAGGAATGGTGGTTCCTGAAGTCAGTAGTTCCTTGATGGCCGTCAACACCAACAGTGTGGAATCTAATGCCAAAGATGCCATCCCACCAGCACAGTTTTAGCTGTCCAGTTCCACCGGAATAGAATGGGTTGCAAGTCGAGCTAATACCCTTGGTGAGAGTAGTGCAGTCTTAAGGCAAATTACTTGCAGATATTTATCTCTAATTTGGATTATTTGTACTCTTTGCAATCTACCCTTTACTTCACATCACTTCTAGTGCTTTCTCACGCTTTTTCGTTGGGTTGAAGATTTCTTGCAGCCTTTAACGGCATATGTGCATGTTTCCTATCATTTCATTGGAGTTTGTTTGGATCTCCCAATGGATTATTATGGTCGTAAACTGAAGAATTTATATATATCATCGAATTTGAATGATAAAATGCAGCGAGTAGAGATTTTTATGTACATTCATTATTTCATTATTAAAAGCTACATTCCAAGTATTCTTTACTGATATAAATGACAGGTATCACCTCATTTCAGAATTTACAAATAAACTGAAATTTTGTAAATTATTAAATAAGTATTTAAGATAGAATGAATGGAATTTAAGCCAAATGGTCCAAACCCCTTGTTTTGGATCTGAATCCTTCTATGGTACCTCCGACCGGTGATGGTACCCCACCGTCCGACCTGTGCTTATTTGGAAAGCCATAATTTGTACAGCACCTCTGTTCAACCATGGCTATCCAAATAATCCCGTGTCACCAGAAGATTAAAGGTCAAGCTTTTAAACCTGAACCTATTGACACGTTTGTTTCATTATTACGCGCCAATACAAGCAAACCATATGATAAACCTGAACAGTTAACACCAAGGATTGTACAAAACTTTGTGATAAAAGGAAGGTTTAAACAGTGCATATATGCTATTAGCAAGGAGAATAAAACAGCCTGAAATTATAGCCCTCCACTGCGAAACAAGGACGTTAAGTAGCACAAGTTCATAATACTATTAAATAGAACAGCAGCCCCAAAAGATTATCAACTTAGCTATATCCAACTTGTTGCTGCTGCTGAGGCTGTTGGTAATTTCCGTAGCCGTGATATCCTCCATAGTACATGTTGGGGTCTTGGGACGCAGCAGCATAGCCATAACCATATCCTTGGCCGTATCTATAATATCCACTGTTCCACTGGTTTGGATCTGATTGGGCCTGGAATGCAAGAATGCCAAAGGCTTTCATGGGTCTATATAAATATCGAGAAGAAACAATCAGTTTGCCATCAAAATATCTAACCAACCTGTTTGTTTGGCGTGCTACGGCCCCAAGAAAGTCGAATACTTTGTCCACCCAACTGAGTCCCGTTCAGTATTCGCAGTGCTTCTTCGGCACAGCTCCTGATGCATTACACAAGTACAGAACATAACAATAACATTAACTATGTCTCTCCTAAATAGATCTATTCATAAATACTGGGCAGTGTATCTTTTACCTATCAGCAAATTGAACAAATCCACAACCCTTGTTTCGTGGAATCTTCACGTGCACCAACCGACCATAGGGGCTGAAAACCTCTCTCAAATGGTCTTCCGTCACATCAGAATCCAAATTACCAACAAATATCTGCATGGGAATATGTGATTAGAAACAAATAATAAGAAACCATGTTTTCACACTGAAAGTGAAAAAGTACCTACAGTTGTATTATTTGGATCATTCTCGTTCCGATTCCCTTGTGGTGAAGCTACGTACAAAAATAACACGTAACAAAAGGATAACAAAGAGGGGAAAGAATTCCCAAGAAGAAACAATGAGAAAACACAACAGTGGGTTGACAGGATTCTTTCTAGAATATTGTCCTTCACACCTGTAGGGGCAGTCACTTTATTGTTAACGACAAAAAGGAAATATAACCTGTTAGAATAATGTCAAAAAAACAAGGTCCCTAGCTTGATGGTAGAAACATGATTGTAGAAAAGCATTAAATAGTAACTGTTACCCAAAAATAATTGAATTTAAGGCAGCGTAGGTGGGTAGAGTTGTTAAAGGATTATGACTGTGTGATTAACTACCACCAGGAAAAGCAAACGTAGTGGCAGATGACTAAGTAGGAAGTCAATGACAGATCTGAAGGCCTTGTTGGCACGGTTGAGGTTGACCAAGGCTTGTTAGCATAGCTTCGAGTAGAGCTCGAGCTAGTAAGCAAAATCAAGAGGTTGCAAGGTTCAGATGATCGCTTGAGGGCTCGCGTAGAACAAGTTCGCCAAGGTGAGGCCTCAGGTTATGAGCTAAGAGATGGAGATGTATTGTACTTCAAAATTCAGTTATGCGTCACTACAGTCGATCCCTTGCGTAACAAGATTCTGAATTAAGCACATTATAGTCAACTTTCAGTGCACCCGAGTAATAATAAGATGTATCAAGAACTTCGACCGTTATATTTTTGGTTGGGTATTAAAAGAGAGATATCAAAGTTTGTGGTGAAATGTTTGGTATGTCAACAAGTTAAGGTGGAATATTAGGTTCCTTCAAGATTACGTCAAGCAATTCTGATTCCTCAGTGGGAGTGAGAGGGAGTGACTATGGATTTTGTAATCGGGTTACCTATGACTAGACGAAAGCATGATGCAATATGGGTTATTGTAGACCAGTTAACTAAGTCGACTCATTTTCTTCCAATGCGGATGGATTTCTCCCTAGAGAGGCTAGCACAATTGTATATCCGCGAAATAGTAAGGTTGTATGGGGTTCCAGTTTCGATCATATCCGATAGGGATCCTTGTTTCATATCTTGGTTCTGGAAGGTTCTTCACCAATCTTTAGGCACCAATATGCATTATAGTATTGATTTTCCCCCTCAAACGGATGGTCAGTCAGAGCGTGTTATTCAAGTTCTTGAAGACATGCTTAGGTGCACAATTATGAACCTTGAAGGTAGTTGGGAGGACCATTGTTGCTTGTGGAGTTTGCGTACAATAACAACTAATAGTCTAGCATCCAAATGGCACTGTACGAGGCTTTGTATGGACAAAAGTATAAGACTCCCTTATGTTGGACTAAACTTAGTGAAGGGAAGTTAGTGGGGCCTGATTTGATCAGAGAAACTGAAGAGAAAGTTAGATTAATTCAGAATCGACTATTAGAGGAGTCCGATAGAAAGAGGTCGTATACGGATTTAAAGCGTTAGGACATCGAGTTTGATGTGGGTGACAATGTGTTCCTTAAAGTATCTCCATGGAAAAAAGTGTTACATTTTGGGCGCAAATGAAAGATATCCCTGCGTTTTATAGGGACATATGAAGTTCTCAAAAGGATCTGACCCATAGCATATAGGTTAGCCCTACCTCCGGAGTTGGAACGTATCCACAACGTGTTCCAAGTATCTATGTTAAGGAGATATCGTTCCAACCCTTCCCATATTCTACCTCCAGAGCAGATTGAGCTAAGCCAATATATGATGTATGAGGAGGAACCCATAAGGATTCTAGCAAAGGATCTTTTCTTCGTATGTAAATTTTGGGAACGAAATTTCTTATTAGGATGGGAGAGTTGTAATACCCCAAATCCAAGGTTAGTGGTTCGGGTTGACTCGAAACCTTTAATTAGAGCCTAAAAAGACCCATTAGACTAGTTGGATAAAAATTAAGTTGGAATTAGGCTTGATTTTGGACCCAAGTGTGAAGAGATAAGGATAAGTTTATTAAGAATTAAGAGAATGAGGACCTAAAGTGTAATTTCCCCTTTTTTAAATCAATAGCTAAACCCCTTATTTTTGTCTAATTAATGTGACCCACTGACATTCTTCCCCACCAAACACTCTTCCTCTTCTCTCCATTTCTCATATATTTCAATTGAAGCCAAGATCTAAGCTTTAGGGATTTCAACATTTGGTTAAGTTTATCTAAGGTAAGTAAATCATTCTCCATTTCAAGAGCTTCATTTTAAGACCTATATGTCAAGTTTTAAGCTTTAAACAAAAAATGGGTTTTTGTGGGACTTATGAAATAGTGTATTCTAGCTCGTGTTTGGGTAGGATGAACTTTAAGAAATGTTTTTAGATTCCTAGTAGTCTCCTAAATAAGTTAGTAATACCATTTCTTTATGCAACAGTGAAGGAAGTTAGAGAATGGTCCAAGGCAAGAGGGAATGAAAAGTTAACTTCGGGGTGATTTAGAACTCTTTCCAGCTACCAAGACCCCAAGGTAACACTCTTATAACATTCTTATGACAATTATAAGCCTTATCGTGCATTTATGTAGCTTACATTAGCTTTGAAGGATTTAAGAGCATGTTCATGGTAGATTTCAATTTTATGTGTTTTTAAGCTATATGATGCCTTTTTATGACTCCAATAAGCTTAAATAAGATACTAATAATGTTTTGGACCTCCTTAGGGTCTTAAAAAGGGTTAAGAATGTTTGAAAATGCTCAAATAGGGCATTTTTCAGGTGTCAATATCGATACTGGATGATTAAGTATTGATAGTGTTCATAAGCTAGGAAAAATATGAAGAATTATAAGTAGGAGTATCGATACTTATGTGTAGAGTATCAATACTACAGGCCCGTTTCGAAACCTAAGGGAAAGGTCTCTGTCGAAGCGATTTTTCTTTTAGAGTGAAAAAGTGAGATTTTGAAAACCACATTAATTCTAAATTATCTCTTTTTAATTTAAAAAAACAAATACGATTTAAAAGACCTCTCGTTTCGAAAAATTTTGAATTTCCTTTACGATCGAAAAATACGGTTCGAAGAGTCGCCACCAATATTTGATTAGGGTGTGATTGGGCACCCAAAAATTCTTTGTCATTTTAAATAAAAATTAATTTTAATTAAAACAACAAATTGAGGTCTGCGTTACCAATATCTGAGTTCGGGAGTCGATTACGTGTGGGGAAGGATTAGCACCCCCACAACGCCCTAAATCGGTACCTAGTCGATTAATTAACGTCTTTGCAATGAACTTTACAAATTCGAATTTAATTTGATTTTTGATCCCATAAGACAAAGATGTAAATTTAAAAACATTCAAAAGCACTCAAATAAATTAAATTAAAATTACCGAGTCGTTTTAGAAAGAAAAGGAATGTTCGATCATTTACAAATATCGAGATCAAATCTTAAAAGTTATAACAACATTTTCTCGATAAATTTAAATAAACGAACATTTCCTTTTCTTTCGTTCCCAAATTTTAGGTGACGAATCAATTTTTTTGTTTCACTTCCGGGATACGCTTTTAATTTAAAATAGTCAAAGCGACTCTCTAATCAGTTAAGACAAGTCGCTCAAGACAATTTTAAATTAAAAGGGTATTACCCTTAGTCCGGTTATGTATTTATAAGTCGAGTTATGCACATAAGGGTATCATACAAATTATGCCAAAAAAGTCATGCCAAAATTAATTAAACAAAATTAAAAAAATAGCATACAATGTGACATACAAAAAATTATATACATATGTTTAATTAAAAATCATAAATTATGCATATTAATGTATTATATACACATGTGACCTAAATATCATAACATGCTAAACTATAAATAAAAAAAAAGTATACATATACACATTAAAAAATGACTAAATTAAATAAATGTAAAATTTAACATACAAATAAAAATAAATTAGGGACTTAAATAAAACAACACGCATAAATAAGGTATCTACACCTAAATAACCCAAACTGAGTGGTCTCTATGTAATTTTCCTAAAATACTAATCCTAAATATTTAAGGACTCAAAAAATAACAAAAAAAAAATAGAGTTCAAATGTCTAAAACAATAAAAGTTAAATACAATAATACTACTTGGGACTGAAATTAAATGTAGGTGACGTAAAGGGGCAAAATTAAATATATGAAAACATTCGATTAGGGCTAAAATAAATTTAGGAGAAAACTCAAATGAACAGTAGCTCAAATAATCCAAAAATTTTAATGTTGTGGCCTTCGACCATTGTTGCCGAGAGTCTTCCCCGACGAAAATTTTGATAACAGGTAAACTAGTTATTTCCTCACCATTTTCTATTTATTTCTTTGAAGACTTCACCTCTAACTTATGAATGATGGCTACTCAGGGAAACCTAACTCTCACCAACACCCCAACTAAACACTATGTGATAGTTACAATGAAAATGGAGAGCAAAATCAAGCAAGGTAATGTAATTAACTAATCTTTCCTGTATTTTCACTTGTTTAGAAATAAAAGCACTCATAGAAATTACTAGAAAATGAAATAAAGATAGAAGATACCAAAATAATTGTTCCTTGCTTGTTATTGATTTCCTGAAAAACGAAGATCCAGCCTCTGTTACACTGCTTGACCTTTTAATAAGGAAATGTTACACCGTTTCTTTCCCCTTGTTCTGCTGTGTAAAAAAAAAACAAAAAAAAATCTGGTTTCCCCTCCTTCTGTGTGTCTATCATAACCCTCTCCCCCGTGATGGTGATAACGCCTCATTTATTTAGTTTCCAGCGGTTACCCTTTAAACTGATCTTTTTCAGTTTTTTTTCCAGTCGTGTTCCTCTTTGTTAACTGCCTTCTAACCATTTTGTTTTCCTGACTTCACGTGGGCTGGTTTGCTTTGCTGATGAATATTGGACTTGAATCAGGCCTTCAACAGATTTGGGGTCGGGTTTAGCGACCTGGCCCCGGAAAAAAACGAGCATCTACAGCTGCCCCTCTTTGTTCATTGTCGTGTAATGAGAATAGAGCAAAGATCAATAGATGGTCGAGTTTGTCCAGCCATGAGAACTTCAAAAGGTTAATCTGCTTCTCTGCTACTCCTAGATAAGCGAGACTTGAAAAATCTTCAAATGACGGGTCCGCTCCCTATTCTTTTAGGTAGTATAAGACTCGGACAATCTTCGGTAAACGTGTCTGCTCCCTATTCATTCAGGGAGTATAAGACTCAAAC